CTCACATACTATACACATGAAAATGTGTAGTACTAATTCTGGAAATAAAGTTGAAAAAGCATTTCAAGGGACTGATGACGAAAAAATCACTTTTAGCTGAATGTATGCTTCAAATCACTCTCTCATGGGAACAGTCAGAAATAGTTTTCATTCACAGAGATTAAGGCTGGAAGACAATACTGACCTTTCTAAGTACAAGCAAAGTTCAATTTACCTAATTATCCCTGAACTATGCTTAAGAATTATGTTTGATTACAGCACATTTTGCAGAAAATATGTTCTGAAGATGTAAGAGATGGAGAATTAGCCATTTCCCATGACACTCTACTGAAACGGTTAATTACTGTTTGTCTTAAAAATAAGAAATATTTCCAAACAACAGTAGTTTGAGAACTGCATCTCAACCAAACTCATGGAGGTTACAACAGCATCGAAGTTAAGTACCCCAAAATCACTCTACTGCTACCTTTGCTGACAAGCATAATCAAGAAGCTGGAGCAGCATCTGTTAAACCAGTGTTAAGGTAAAGTACAGGAATCACATCTGTTTCATTACTGCTCTGCCAACACAATGTGCCTTGAGAGCTTTTCACAAACCCTGGAATTTGTATGAGGAGAGGGAAAAAAAAGTAATTGAAAGCTACTTTTAAAAACTGTCTTGTTTTCAACCCATGCTGAAGTTCAGGATCATTGTTTGGGTCACTATGAAGCCAAACTGCTTCAAACCCTGAACCCCTTAATATAAAGCTGCTAAAACTGCCTACGGAACACGATTGCCATGACAGAAAAATAAGACTTGGAAGACAGAGGGTACTTCTATGGACAGGCAGATGGCAGTATTGAAGGCCTCCCTAAACTCAAAATTAAGCTGGTAACAGAACCGTTGCGAAATCTTTCCTTCTTTAGATGACACCATAGTGAGGAGGAAGGGCAATGGTACAGTGTTGTAGCTCCAAAGGTTATTTTCCTGCAGGAGAACAGGAGCAAAGGTAGCAAAAGATCAGAAGAGGCAATTGTTTTTGCATGCTAGTACCTGCAGGCAATAATAATGTTCTCATCTTATCTTTTATGAAATGCACGCACAAGTTTTGCAGAATCAGTCTCAGCTGAACTGGCCCATGATGTACAAAGATTTGGTTAAGCTATACACATGTGCTGAAGTTCTGCACACAAGAAAACCTGCAGAAGAACAAAGACTTGGCATGTAAGCTTTATGGGAAAGCGATCACGTGCTCGTTATAAAGCATAAAATTTATAGTCCTATAATAACACCAAACAGTGGCTCCTTTCAAAATATTTTACAGTTATTAAAGACAAGAATGTGAGAGGAGGTCATTCGAAAAAATTATTTACTTTTCAATGACCTTTGACGAATCACTGAAGTCTAAAGCCTTCCTGCGGTCCATTCATTCGGGCAGTGTATGAAGCAGCATTTAAGCTTCTAGAGAAACATGTGTTGGAACTAGAATTCTGCTTTTTGCATACGTGCCTGTGGCATTATTCTGAAAAAGGATTACTTGTATTTTTTCCATGCACACCCCATTTAACCATCTGACCTACAGATGAAAGTAGAGACACAGAAGAAGTTTATCGCTGAAATTGGAACTTTACACAAATACTACTTTTGGAGTCTTTTAATTAACAAAAAGATACAAAACTGTGGCAAGCAAATCACAAAACCAAGAAAAAGACTATAAACCAGTAATCATAAAATCAAGATTATAAATCAATTCAACAATGGCTGCCCACCCCTACAGATGTCCTCAAACAACATATATAAGGACTATTTTCCCTTTAACATGGAAGTTGAAAAACTATGCCTAAAGCCACTGCTCTAACTTGCTCTAACAACTTTCTCTAAATGGTAGTATGTTGGTTACGAAAAACAAACTACAGAGATTTTAAGTGTTAGACCAATATCAAACCGAACGCATACAACCAGCATACTACTAACTGCAGTGCTCGTCTATTTTTCTTAGGATATATAAAAATTGTACAGTCACAACATAACGTGTATGTAACATTTATGAACCCTGGGACCCACCTGTTGCCAACTTGAATTCTCACCATTTTTGCCAGACTGGCAGAGAACGAAGAGATCTCAGTGAAGAAAAAAGACCTCCGCTCCTAACCTAAGCCTCAAGTTCACAAGCCTCCATAAATTTGTGTACTGTACTGAATTTTAAAGCAAGGCTTAGAGCACGGTTGTTGTTATGCATCGCAAGATCCTTGAAGGAAAACAGTCCCTCAGACATCCCACAGCCCAGGCACGGCGCTGGCAGCCACCGGCGCGCTCGCCGAGCACCCGGTGCAGCCGCAAAGCAACGCGTTTAACCAGGCACCGCACTGCAGCCCTGCTTCCCAGGGGGAAAGCGGCACCATTCCCTCGGGAAGCCACAGGGCCCCATCCGCGTGCCCTCCCAGGGGACCGGGGCCGACTCCCGGCGCCACCCCGGCAGGCGCGTCCCCGCCGGTGCTGGGTCGCGGACAGGCCCAGGACAGGGCACACGAGGACACCGGCAGGTCACGGCACCGCAGCGGGACCGCCGCATGCCTCGCCCGGCACCAGCCCCCTATCCCCTTGTCCCGATCCGCCTCCGCAGGGGGGAGACCCGCGGCACGGCGGGGAGGGGCGGGAGGGACGCACCAGCTCCTGCGGCCGCTCCTCGGTGCCTTCCCCGCGCAGTGCCCCGGCAGCCTGTGGCCGCCCGGGCGCGGCCGCGGCACTGACCTCTGAGCGCCGGGAGCAGGCGGGCGCAGCGCCGCGGAGCCCGCAGCAGGCACCGCGCTGTAGCCAAGGGCGACACGAGCGCCGCCATCTTTCCGGCCCGGCCGCCGCGGCGGCGCGGGGCGCGCTGGGAAATGGAGTCCCGCGGCCCTACGGAGGAGCCCGTCAGCGCTCCTGCCGGGATCACAGAAACACGGAGTCAGTTTGGAAAACACCGCGGAGATCACCGAGTCCAACCCATGACCGAACACCACCGTGTCAAATAAACCACAGCGCTGTTAGGAGTAAATAGGTGTACTCGCAAAATTCGTAGTGTGGTTGCATTTGGTGGCGGGAAGTGACAAGGTCGTTCAGTAGTTTAGTTATAGAAAGGTGCAGTTTGCCCAGAAACAAGGAGACCGTGTAATGGGAGGACACATTGTAGGCGTCGAGTAACCCCGGAGTACCTCAGCCAGTGAGGAAACGGTGAGGGACATGCGTTTCGGACAAGGCGATAAAAGAGGCTGCGACCTCCATTAAGTTGAGAGACCTCACTGGGGATTAGCCAGAGAACTCTCTCTTTTATTTGAATAAAAGTTTAGTTAGCTCCTCTTTCTCTGGGATATTTTTGAGGCTCATAATAACAGAAACAAACAGGTACATTATTTTTCAGAACAGCACTAAGTGCTATGTCCAGCCTTTCCTTAAACACCTCCAGGGACAGTGACTCCACTACCCCCCTGGGCAGCCCATTCCAATGTCTAATCACTCTCTCTATGAAGAAATTCTTCCTAATACCCAACCTAAACCTCCCCATGTCCTCTCATCGCTAGCTGCCTGGGAGAAGAGACCCACCCCCACTTTGCTACAACCTTCTTTCAGGGCATTGTGGAGTGTGATACGGTCACCCCTGAGCCTCCTCTTCTGCAGGCTAAACAATCCCATTCCCCTCAGCCACTCCTCACAGGACTTGTGCTCCATACCCTTCACCAGCTCCATTGCCCTTCTCTGGACTCACTCCAGCACCTCAATGTCCTTCTTGTAGTGAGGTGCCCAGAACTGGACACAGGACTCAAGGTGTTGCTTCACCAGTGCTGAGTACAAGGGAACAATCCCTTCCCTGGTCCTGCTGCCCACACTGTTCCTGACACAGGCCAGGATGCCACTGGCCGCCTTGGCCACCTGGGCACACTGCTGGCTCATGTTTACCTGGCTGTTGATCAGAACCCTGCTGTCCCTTGCCAGTCCCTGGCTCCTTCCCCTTATCTTCACCTTCCAAGCTGCACCACAGCCCTTGGAGAGCTCACCTACCTGCCTGCCCAAGGGCTATGTTCCCTGTGCTGCTCTGGCCACTCAGCAGAAACTGCAACTTC